AGAACCCAAACAACACTACTTCCTTCCCTGCTCTCCCCCACCAAAAAATCCCCCTCTGTTGACACCCATAGGAGGGATCAACAAGGTTGAAGCTTTAGCTCAGTTACACAGACCTCTGCCCTTAAGCTGCTTGAAGTCACTGAAAGCAATAGTAGGTTGTCAGTCATTGCCCAGCCAGTCCCAATCTCTTCATATAGTTTCTTATTCAATGTCATGTATGTTCACAGAACAATATGGGTGCAGAACACAGAGATTTCAACAAGCTGGGTTACAAGTAGTAATATAGTGTGGACCTCCATGCAGGCTGAGAAGCAGGGTAAATTATACTGTGTGGAATTTCCCACTACTCATCTTATTTAGTTTTAGGAGATAGCTAATATCTTTCCACTGTGTGGCAATCTTTTCTGGCTGAGGGCCAGAATGACCTGTTGGGCGAGGTCAGAGGCAGGTGAGTGGAAGGGCCCAACTACTGTCATTGTTTATTTCCAATCTAATTCCCTTTACTTGCTTCCCAATCTGTCCCATATATATTCAAGTTGGTTGGCTTTTCCTTCAGGAAGCCCAAACCCAAACACAAAGGAATAGAAATATAATAGAAATGTTGAGACCACAGGGAAACAGTTTTCCAGCATTTAATTTCTGATGCCTGACATCCTGCAGCAGCCCAGATCTTTAATTACAGGAAAAGTCTTGCTCTGCTCTGGGCTAGAATATGCCTCCTTTAGATGGATACAATGCTGAATTTATGTGGAGTAGGGCAATGTAATTTTCACTGGTTTAATGGAAAATTTCTGCCTGAGAAGTTAAAAGTTGACAGTTATAAGCAACTGAAAATAGGATCTTATAATAAATAATGTTGGGCAACCTCAAATATAGGTGGTGCTATTAGACCCCCTGTGGTTAACAGAAGAACAGTAATGACTTCTGTGTTTTGTGAGTCTTTATCTCTGCAGAACTTTTTATCCAAATTCACTAGTTTTTGATAGTTTAAAAGTATTTGGTACTTAGCCATTGCTGCTTATGACATTAAAGTGCTTTATTCCAAAGCCAGGAAACTGCCCTCTTTGCTTATCCCTATCTAGTAAGATTATTTTCAACTAGTATATAGTCCTTGTTTCCTCAATCAACACGACTTGTAAGTTTCAGTTTGTAAGGTTTAGATTGGATATCAGTCAAAACTGCTTCACTGTTAGAACAGTGAGGCCGTGGAATAAACTTCCTAGGGAAAATGTAATCTCCATCACTGGAAGTGTTCAAGAAGAGATTGGATAAGGATTGGTCAGGGATGATTTAGGAGTAGCTGTGTCTGGAGTGCTTTCTAAAAAGCAACAGTTGGAAGCCCAGGAGCAACACCCTCCTTTTCCCCCACACACATGGACAGGTGACTGGGAGATAACAGAAAGAGCTCTATATCCTAGAACCGTGGTTCTCAACCTTTTTTGTACCAGGACCCATTTGTAAACATCAGTGGCTAGTCCTGACCCACTGCACCCCCAGTCCAGGCCCCCGGCCCCCAGTATGTTTGGCGGGGGTGGTGTATGGGGGGCCAAGTAACCCCTTGCAGGCTGGAGCTCTGCCAGCCTGCAAGGGAAAAGCCCGTTTCCCACATTTTCATTCTTTAAAGGAGAATCTATTTTTAAAGTTTGTTGATTCATTTTTAAAGTTTGTTCATGACCTTTTCATATATTCTTGTGACCCACTTTTGGGCTACAACCCACAGGTTGAGAAATGCTGGCCTAGAGCAGTGATTTTCAACCTTTTTTGTACCAGGATCCATTTGTAAACATTGATGGCCAGTCCTGACCCAGTGCCCCTCACTCCCAACCTGCTGCCCGCCACCCCCAGGCCCTAACCCCTCAGTGTGTGGAGCAGGGGGGACCCCAAGCAGCTCCTTGCAGGCTGAAACTTTGACAGCCTGCAAGGGAAAAGCCACAGTTTCCCATGTTTTTTTCCTTTAAAGGAGAATCCATTTTTAGAGTTTATTGATCCATTTTTAAAGTTTGTTCATGACCCTTTGATATATTCTTGCAACCCACTTTTAGGCCACAGCCCACAGGTTGAGAAACACTGGCCTAGAGCAGATGGATATTGAAGAGGACCATGGTCAGCAGCAGGAAAATGAAGTAGAGCTCCAGACCTGGCCACATTATGAAAGCAGGTTAAAGCAGCTAGGATAAATTTATGGAGAGAATACAGAAAGGGGAGTTCTGGCTGTTCAATTAATTATAGGGTGTGATGTGTGGAGATATGCCTGCTGTTTAGGTTGCAGAGCAGAATGGAGTTTCTTTGGTTTTTCCTGTGCTTGTGGGCTTTGCTGGTTGTCACGTGAGGCTGTGAAGGAATTTTCCCCCTCTTGTTGCTACAGGTGCTTGGGGGTTTGTTTTTTCACTTTCCTCAGAAGCATTGGGTTTTGGCTGCCTTCAAGCCTAGGGATTTTGACTAGGGTGTGCCAGTTTTCCTGCTGCGACTAAAACTCAGAGTTTCTAGGCTTGAGGGTCCTGCTTATCTGCTCAGGGTCAGACTGATCACCCCATTTGGGATCAAGAGGGGTTTTTACCCCATGGTCATATTGGTTTGCACTGTATGGGGTTTTGCTTTCCTCGGTAGCAGGGGTTGAGGGCATAGCTCTCTTCCTTAGATTACTCGAGTACGTTTAAACAACACTTGTAGCCCCAGTATAATGATAGTCTTTGTTCCTCTGCTTTACATTGGCTGGTTAGAGTGCTTTTGGTGTGTTTGGGCAATATCCCTTGTAGATGTGCAACAGGGTTGATTGTGTAGTTTAAGGAATAGGTTAGAAAATAGATTTATATAGGATGGTTTGGACAGGAGTGATCTTGCCTCTGGTGGGAGGTTTGGACTGCATGGCCTCCTGAGGCTTCTTGCAGCCCTACTTTTTATGATCTGTGCTCTTCTATTTTTCTTAAACCTGTACAGCTAAGACACTAAATTGTATCCAGCATGACTGGAACATCTATTTGCAAACTGCATATTTTCCTGTACTTGCTGATATTTTGTATGTTTTCCCAGCTCAAAATAAAAGATTATATCCATTTTCAACTGCTCACTTCCATTTGTTTTAAATTATTTGTGCTGGTACAGTAAGTGTGATTGTTTGCAAAGAATGTTCAAGATGTATATATCTGAAACAGTTTGTTCTAATGATTATGGATATCCAGTAATCTACTTTAAGAATGCAAAATGATTCAATCAGTGTTTTATTAATATTAAAATGAACAGCACAAATGCATTTTTTTAATATCCACAGATGTTGGGCATACAGCCTACCTGTTCCTGTCTCTTTTGAAAGCTTGATTCACTTAGAAAGTAAGACATTTCTGTGATATGATGCTTTTATAATTGCTGTAAGCCCATTTCCCTCCCCTGCCATTTCCATATTGTTGAAAATTATACTACAGTCTACCCCTTAGCAGTTTTTCTTGCTAACAGTTTGGACTGAATCATCTGCTCAAGTATAGCTTACAGATGTCATGAGCCTTTCCAAACTAACGTCCATTATCCACAGTTCTGATCTCATCTTTTGAGATAAATCCAAGATTACACAGATTTACCATTTTATTGTTAATAGTAAAACAGCAGTGATGGCTGACTTTAAAATTTTTCTGGCTGGCTAAACAGTTCAAAGTCACTATTGCAAATGATTCAGCAGCAAAATGATAGTTTTTAATTTTTTTGTTGTTGTGTGCATATAGCACCAGTTTGGCAAATGAGGTACATGCATTATATGTGTGTATAGTAGTAATTGTTTCATTTCTTCCAATAAACATTTTAATACTATTCCAGTTCATACTAACTGACAGAGAGGGATTATTGTGCCAGTAAAATATAAAATGAGTATATTGGAGACATGAAATATAATTCAGCTGTTTGTGATATTACCTCACCCACTCAGGCATCTGCAACAGGGGAGTGATCTTAGGGAACTGCTTGGCTTCCTGGGGTTTATAGTTTGCTGCTATTAGAATTCATAGTGCAGGAACTAGAGATTTGCTGTAGGACGCTAAAGATTTCTGAGTACTAATTTCTTTCCCTAGTACTGGCCACAGTATTGACAGACCTTTCCATTATTTTTTCTTACTAGAGCCAATCCTTTGTAAAATACACTTAAAACCCACAGCAGAGAGTTAGGAGTATTGCTTCTGGGTAACATGGTAGATTGTTCCTCCTGGCATCACAAAAGGAATATAAAAAGCACACTAAACACCACACTAAGTATAAGGAACAGGAGGAAAGCTCCAGCTCCAGCTGTTTGTTGGAGATGGATGGAGAAAGAATGGGAAAAGAGAGAGGTAATAGGCAGAAAGAGATTGAAGAAGGGGTAGGAATTAGGTAAATAGGCCCAGGGTTTTCTAATATACTTTGGATGCAGAAATGTTTTTGGGGCATTTGTGATCATACGGTGCACAATAAGAGGTTTTGAGAGGCAGTGTGGTCTGTGGTTGTGGTGTTTCAGTGGAGAACATATATGATTTATAGCAAATGACAGAAAGACTCTTAAAAAAACAACAATCCCATTCCTTGTAATTCAAGTCATCTCCCTTTTTTTATATCTTCTTTCCATACATTTATTCTTCTCTCCTCCATTGTCTTATCCTGTTATGGCTTTGTTTTAATTCCTGTTCTTGTTCCATAGTTCTTACCCATGCAACAAACTTTCATTTCCCACATCATCCCCTTCTGGGTTCCATAAGACTGTGATAGACACCTGGTTGCTGCCAGTTTTCCAGGAGCTAAGCCTTTTGAATTCTGCCATTTTCTGGGTTCCAAATAAACACTCATCTATTACACACTTATCTATTGCATAAAGGATCTTTAGTACCATTGTCAAAATGAAGTAACAAAGTAGCCCTAGGCATGAAGGATTACATCTGATCATAGTTAAAATTACACACATTTTAGTAACTACTTTAACCCCCAAGATGTAGTTCGGGAAAAAGAGCAAGAGTAATGATGCCATTAGAAGGTCTTCTATTGTACCATTATTTTAAGGGCAAAGAAGAGTATTTCTTTATTTTATATTTTTCTTAGATTCTCAAAAATCTTAACAGATACCACCTCCAGTTTTCTGGCTTTCTTTAGGTGTTGTTGTAGGAGCCTGTCTTTATCTCCTTACATCTTAAAATGTCATTGGTTGAACTATGTCCATGATGAAGGCTTTGCCTGTAGGGCATTGTCACTCCTTGTGAGCCTTCGATTTCATGTTCTCTGTTAATAGAGATTCTTTCCTTTTCTTTAAATAATTTCTCTATAAAGGTTTTGAGCAATTGGAGACAGGCGATTGATTCAACTGATGGTCCTTTTATGAAGTTTTGAAGCTTGAAGCTTTTGTAGAAGCAGTGTACTCTAATACCCTGATTCTGTTGCCTGAACACCAGCATAACTCTTGTGGATGGCAAAGAGGAATCGTGTTTTAGAGTTTGCACTGGGAAAGCCTGAGTTCTGATCATGCTCCTGATCCACTTGCATAGGCTTGAGCTTCTTACCTATAAAACGGGGACTGCCATGCTTGTCTTTAAGACCTGTTGTTTGTTAGTTAATCTGGAAGTTTGAAAACAAGAAGCATTATATAAATGCTGAATGCTATCAGTCAATAAAATAATGTTTATATAAGGACGTTCTCTTTACTGAGAACATCCAGCAAGAGTCGTTTCCCTGAGAGGTATTCACTACCTGTCTAGGGTACTTGTGAAGCCTCATTTCCATAGTATTGGAACACCTGATAACATTTAATATAACTGTTTTTATAACATCCTGTGAGGTAAGGAAGTACTGCTTATCTCTGCTTGCAGATGGGGGAACTGAGACCTGGAGATACTAAGTGATTTGCCCATGGTCAGATAGGAAATCTGTACCAGAGCATATAACAGTACCCAAGTCTCTTGAGTCACAGTCTTATATCCTAATCACTAGGCATCTCTGTACCAGCACAGCATTCACTGAACTCTATTTCACTTTAGACTACAATTGGATTTTTTATGATACCACATACAAGACAGCTGATATAAAAAAAAATTACAGAACATTGCCATGAAGTTCATGGAACTGAAAGGTAAAGAAATGGCAATACATTCAGCAGAGAAGAGAGTTGGTCCCAATGCTGCAGTGAGTTCCATGCAGAAGCAGCATCTACTCAGGTAGATCAAATTGCAGGATCTTTTCCTTGGTTTATACAAAACAGCTCCTTTCCAACACAGATTTATAGCTATGTCTATCCATTTATCTTGTGCAGGTTCAAATAGATATCCAGACACTTGATGAGACTGATCCAAAACAAATTATCAGAAATAGTTTATAAATGATGTTCTATAACTGATGCCACCATGTAATTAGTAAATGGAAAAAAGAAATCTTTGTAGGCAAATATTCCTTTATGGACAATCAACCCAATCAACAAAATGTAAACAATAGGATTTTTTTTCTGACAAATGTATCAAATACTTGTTGAATCTAGTAATAAAACAAATTTCCTAATTAGCCAATTACAGTGACAATCACACCATGCTTCTTTATTGTTTGAACCGATTGTTCTTTGTGTCGTTCCCACTCCTCATCCTCTTTGTCTGTTTCTGGATAAACTGGTAGCTTGTCTTTTGGACACTCCTCATAATAACTCCGAATGTATTTTCCAACAGACCACCCTTTGTATTCCTCAGGCATTTTGCATTCCAGACCATTGTAGTGAACACTGTAGTGATGCCTTAACCAGTAAAAAAGGTAATGAATGTTGTAATCACATCTCCAAGGGTTCTCTCGAAGCCACAGTAATTTCAAAAAATACAGATCTTCTAATACTCCATATTCAAAATTTTGCAGGCTGTTGTTTGATAAATCTAGTTCCTCTAAATTAATGAGCCCTGAAAAGGCAGCTGATCAAGAGAAAAACAGTTATTGAAATTCATACATTAGTTAGAAAACTATGTTAATCTGAAACAGGGAAAAAATCCCATATTTATATAAAAATAAACAGTATTTTGTGTATTGTTTTTAAGTCTACAATAAAGGTTTCTTTTGAACCTTAAAGAATGGATATACTGCAAATTTTATAAAAGTTACAATCAATCTGGTCCCTATGGGTGCTGACAGATGGACAGCTTCCCACTGTAACTCATGACAGTTCACAGAAGGCGCCATGAGTTACTGCACCCCCTACCCCTGACCCAACAGATGCTGCTGTTTGGTGGAGGGTGAGGGGGTGAGGCAATCGAGTTCTACATTGAAGCCAATCCAGAGGAGAGAGGTGGCCTGCCTGTCTCTCTCTCCCCTAGCCCTGCCCCCCTCCCAGCTCTGGTACTGTCTTCAGGATGGAAGGGAGGGGAGGGTGCTCTGTCTGGAGTTTGCCCAACCTGTGCTGGAGGATGGGGTGGGTAGAGCCCTCCTCCTGGGGTGGGGGGTTCCAATCCACCCACTGCACCCTCCAGTGGAGGCTGGGCAAACCTCAGATGGTGCTCCTTCCCCTTTTCCCCATTCCACCCTGAAGACATCCTGGGGGCAGGGCT